TGTGCATGTATGTATGTGTGTGTGTGTGTGTGAGTGTGTGTGTGTGTGTGTGTGTGTGTGTGTGTGTGAGAGAGAGAGTGCGTGTGTGATGTGTGTGTATGTGTGTGGTGTGTGTGTATGTGTTATATGTGTGTATGTGTGTATGTGGGATGTGTGTGTGGGGGTGTATGTTTGTGGTGTATGCTGGGGTGGGTGTATACCTGTGAATACGACGTCTGAGCACGAAGGAAAGGCAAAGGCGCAAAGAGAGGCCTTTAGACGGATAACAACATACACATAAACTACTATGGAGTAATAGACGAAACGAAAGAAGGAAAGAAGGAAAGAAAGAAAGAAAGAAAGAAAGAAAGAAAGGAAGCAAGAAAGAAAGCAAGAAAGAAAGAAAGAAAGAAAGAAAGAAAGAAAGAAAGAAAGAAAGAAAGAAAGAAAGAAAGAAAGAAAGAAAATGAAAGAAAGAAAGAAGACTGAAGCGAGACATTTGGACCAGCGTTCGGAAAAACAATTTGGGGAAAAGAACCTGCTGATTTAGAAATTACATACCGAAAGAGGAAAACAAAAAACAAAAATAAACAAACCAACATGTAGGCTACATGTATACGGTAAGCTTTAATAAACAGACACAGATTGATTAAGACGTAAACTTATCAAATCTGATTCGCTTGAAGAGTCCGGCTAAAACGTTTTCGTGGTTTCTAACGGCACACAGATGAATGGGTTTCTTTGAGGCACAGTGGAGCACTTGTTTGTTGCTGCTTCGACGTCACAATTTTCTATAGGCTGAGCCGTAATTTGGAAGCCGTCTATAACTCTCAGTCCTCACAAAAGATCCCAGGTTTATGGGGGGGGGAGGGGGGTTCTTTCTCAAGAACGCCGTGTTACAGCCGAGTGGAGTTACTTTAAGAATCCATTCTAATCTCTTGTTCTGGTAAATCTATTCACACCAAGATTTAAGGGCATGCTCCATGGTGTAGTTCATTAGGCCTCCAGAAATAGTGTCTTTGACGGGGGCGATTAATGGTGCAGTGAAAAGGACCTGGTATCGTGATTTTTTTCCGGAGGTTTCTCGATTCGGTGGATAGAAATCTTACCTGAGAACTGAGAATCCAGATCGATGATTTTGGTGGGCGTTTGCCTTTCTAATAATCATTTTAGTGTATGCATTGTCATGCCTTATAGACCAACATAATTATGTATAATGTAAATCTATCTATCTATCTATCCATCTATCTATCTATCTATCTATCTATCTATCTATCTATCTATCTATCTATCTATCTATATATCTAGCTATCTATCTATCTATCTATCTATCTATCTATCTATCTTTTACGGAAATTATTGTTTTCATAAGCGTTGATGGTATTTCATTGTGTCCCTTCGTTGTGTCTTCCTTTTCCTCAAAATCATGTTTTGCTGGTGGTAGTTACATAGTTCCATCCCGTGTCTCAAAACAAGAACTATGAAAGATACGCCCTGTTCTTTTTTTGCCTTTGACAGTTTCGATCTTGTTTGTCTCAATCCTTTTTCTTATCGTCGCTGTTCTGCTCTCCTCTTACGACAATGGTGTAAGGTTCACAGGGTCGTGCAGAAGTCCTAGCAATTTCTCTTTAACTCGTATCCATTGAAACTAGTATAAGAGCCAATCAGGCAAACTGAAGTACCTTCTCCGCGTAAGAGCAGATCGAATCACAAAAAGCTTTGATGCAAATGTAAACATTTTTAAAAGCGCGTGTCACGTATTGATGAGTGTGTCATTTCAAGTGTGAGTTTAACGCACATATCCTGAGTTTGTTTTTTGAGGGGGATTTTATTGTTTGGGGGAGGGGTTCTGTTTGTGTGGGCGGGTGGGTGTGTTTGTGTGTGTGTGTGAGTGTGTGTGTGTGTGTGTGTGTGTGTGTGTGGGAGAGAG